TATTTACAAAACAGAAACAGACCCACAGACACAGAAAACAAATTTATGGTTCCCAAAGGGGAAACAGAGGGAAGGGATAAATTAGGGATTTGGGATTAATAGATATACGCTACTATACATAAAACAGATAAACACCAAGGACCTATTGTATAGCACAGGGAACTATATTCAATACCTTGTAATAACCTATACTGGAAAAGAATCTGAAAAAGAATAGATACATAGATATAGCTACAGATATATGTATAACTGAATCACTCTGTATGCCTGAAACATTAAAAATCAACTATACTTAAAAAAAAGAAAAAAGAAAAATGGCAAGAGACAAACATTTCCCAAAGATGTACAAACAACCAATAAACAAGTGACAAGGTCAGCATTCTGCCATAAGGGAAACGCAAATTAAAACCACAGATTCCTCTACACACTCACCGGAATGGCTAAAATTTTAGAATAACAATTCTAAGGATTGAAATGAACATTCGAGGTGATAAACGTAGCATGAGCTAAGGCGAAAGTATTGAAGCTCCAATAAATGTTCACATAAGTAAACAGTGGGGAGTTCAGCTTGGCTTGGACACAGAGAGGTGATAAAAAAAGTATTCTGGAATAGTGGTTAAGAGTCAGATCACGGGCTTCCCTGGTGGCGCAGTGATTAAGAGTCCACCTGCCGATGCAGGGGACACGAGTTTGTGCCCCGGTCCGGGAAGATCCCACATGCCGTGGAGCGGCTGGGCCTGTGAGCCATGGCCGCTGAGCCTGCGCTTCCGGAGCCTGTGCTCCGCAAGGGGAGAGGCCACAATGGTGAGAGGCCTGCGTACCGCAAAAAAAAAAAAAAAAAAAAAAAAAGAGTCTGATCACGAAGGGCCTTTAAGGTCAGGATAAGGACTTTAACCTGTATATGATTAGCAATGCTGAACCATGACATGGATGACACAATTTAATTGAGTTTTAAGGTATACAAAAGGCTGCTTTGTATAAAATGTTCCAAAGGCAGAAGGACACAAACTTTCCAAAGTTTTCTATCTCCTACCTTGCAATAAATCTCTCTAACCTCCACACTGTGGTTATACCCTCACTGCTCAACCATTCTTCCAAAACCTCCACCTGTTCTCTCCAACCTTATTTCTTCCTCACTCGCCACCAGATGAACTGAATTAGTTCATGGCCACAGATGCAGCACTGAGCTCTCACTCAAGGAAGGCCTAGTGCCTGCAGTGCTCTGTGCTTCCCCCCAGGCCTCTCACAATTTAAATCCAGTGCTTTTCTGGATGTCCACTTGACACCTGTCCATCCCATCATTTCTCCACCTACTCCAGCCTGCCCTCATCTTCTCCCCAGTCCCCACGGTTCCTATGTGGGTCCTATCAGACATAATTTAACATCTAACTAGAATCTGTCTTGTTTTGTTCTTGATTCCAACAAGACCATAAGCTCCTGGATAGAAGGGATCACTTTTGTATCCTCCACAGCATCTAGTATCAAAGGACATACACTAGCTACTTGTCAGTTCCTCTAGACAACAGAAACGCAAACATATCCTTAGATCCAGTAATTCCATTTCTGGAAATTTATCCTACTGATAAACTCACATAAATATGCAAAAATAATATAATCAAAGATATGCATTATAGATTATAATAAAAAAAACTAGAAATAACCTAAATGTCTATTAAGAAAGCCTAGCTCCTTTGTGTCTATACTGCCCATTTAAAAAAAAAAAAGTTGGGATATCTACACGTATGGACCATCATAAAGTAGTAAGTGAAAAAAGCTGCAGGAAAGGGCATAAAACAGGTCATACACACACACACACACACAAATTTAGAAAAACACAATTTAGAGATTTAAAATGACAATCTCTGCTATGGAGATTTTTCCCTGCAGTGCTAAAAACAAGACAACGGGCCCAAAATGGAGTCATGTATGCCACATCCCCAAACCCAGACTTAATACTTAACCCAATTATGTACAGCTTCAGCTCTCCCCAAAATGGAATCTTAAACCAGCCAATCAGGAATCACCCTATCAGCACTAGTGAAGTAATCTGCCTGACAGACCCTTACCATCCCCTAAAGGAAAGTGACCTTGCTAGAACCAATCTACCTTTTGCTAGTATAACTTCCTTGTTCCTGCCCGCTTCTGCCTACAAAGTCTTTCATTTTGTACAGCTCCTCCAAGCTCCTTTCTGTCTGCTACATTGGATACTGCCCAATACATGAATTGTTAAATAATCATTGAATAAGATTTGTAATATTTACTCACTTGCATTGTTTAACATATAGAAATACTTCTATTTTTGAAAAATGAACAAAGAGCACACAGAATCTATAATAATCTTTGTAACAGAAGAATATTGATGTTTTCACCCACTGCTCCAAGAGTAATTTACAAAACAATTTATAATATAAATCCATTTTATTTAAAACAAGAATAATAATATACTGGGTTATATGTACAAAAATAAGTATTCATAACATTCCACCTTGGGACTTCCCTGGTGGTTCAGTCGTTAAGAACCTGCCTTCCAGTGCAAGGGACGCAGGTCTGATCCCTGGTGGGGGAACTGGGATCCATCCTACATGCCGTGGGGCAACTAAGCCCACACGCTCTACAGCTCCTGTGCCACAACTACTGAGCCCGTGCGCTCTGCAGCCCGCCCGCCACAACTAGAGAGAAGCCCCCCACGCCTCAACGAAAGATCCCGCATGCCGCAACAAAGACCCGATGCAGCCAAATAAATTTTTAAAATATATTTTAAAAAAATGCCACCTTAATAATGGTTATTTCCAGAAGAGGGATTACAGGAAACTTTCACATTCTAGGTTAGTCGTTTTTCTTTAAATAATAACCATTTACTTTAGTTACAAAAAACAAAGATTAAAAATATATATTTCCCTGAGCTAATGATCATTCCAGAGATGTGCATTTTGGTCCACCTAGCAATTAGTTAATCTGAAGAGAATCAGTTTGTCAGGATGCCTGCTATACTACATCTGGGTACACATCACAGGTACATCATGCCTAAAAATTAAATCCACAGAAGTTATCAATACAAAAACTACCTCTCTGCTGTAAAGTATTAAGTGTCTGTTTGATGAAGGGAATCCCTCTAAATGTAAAGTTAACCTCGAATACTTACCGAATTACTATAAGAGGCCAGGCGTTGCAAGGGCCCCTCATCATACACTTTTCTGTTTTTAAACATCCCTCATTTATCTAGAGTCGAAGTAAACTTCTAGGGAGCCCGTGCTTCTAGTCCAGTGTTTGAGAAGAGATAGGAATCTGTATAAACTTTTACCCTTAGGAACAGGAGGAAACTAGGAGAACCACTAAATCCCAAAGATCTCCTCAAAGGAGCTCGGGATTCTGCCTGGTAGATCTGTGCTTCATAGAGGATATCACGGTTGTTGACAGTTCCCCTACATGCCCTGTCCCAGTGAGGAGCTTACACATGTCTAACTTGACGAGTCTAGGCCTCCTTCCTAAGCCTTTGATAAAACACAGAGGGAGCAGAACTGCCTGTGTTTCCTACTATTTCCTACTTTTCTATTGCTCCAGACCTTCTCTATCTCAGCACTGACCCAGAGATCCAACCATGTTAGCCTTACTGCTGAATCTAACAGCTTGAAGCCAAGCGCTTTACATGTTTTACAACTCATTTATACTCACAGTAACGCTGCGAAAGATTCCTATTTTATAGATGAAGAAACTGAAATACAACCAGCAAAGCTAAGATTTAAACCCAGAGACCCTGTTGCCTCACTCCAACCTTTACTATGCAGCACTATCTATATGACATATCTCATTAAACCTAGAAAACACTAGAAATCCTCCTTTCTAACTAAACCTAAAGCACTTAGATTTAGTAACAAATCTTAACGTCAACAGGCCACCTGAATCCAATGTTCTCTCTTGGAAATGCTATTAGTGCCGCTACTGTTGGATAACAGAACTATGAAATTTCATTTGCAAAACATTTATGTTTGCCAGTGCTTTTCTTAACTTAGGAGAAGCCGTTTAGTTATGATTGAACACCCAACCTCTTAACCAAGTCAATGTAAACATATCTGGGTTCAGATTCTAGCTCCATTACTACCTGTTTCCTTTACCTGTAAAATAAGATATGAAGTATATATAAACAACTTAGCACAGCAAATGACTGGAAAGGAAGGAGTCAGTGTTCCCTACTGTTATTATCCTTTGATTGTTTTACCATAAATACTCCCAGGATGTGGGAAAGCTGACAAGTTCAGATCAAATTCAATATCCCGCCCCCTCCCAAAAATACTCGTGAATTCATGGGTTTAGAGAAAACTTTAAACATGAAAAAGCTATGCATTCTATTTAAATTGATGAACTGATAAACTAGAAGTTCTACACAACAGAAACACAATAAAAACTGGTAAATAAAAAATGTTTAGCACACAATTAGCACACGTCAGTTACTACACTCGATAATGAATGCGACAATTAGCTTCAAAGAACTCATTCTTCCATCTATTTCCAGGTGAATTACAATGCCTTCACACTTAGAAATAATAAAAATTCTTGAGTATTATATCTTTAAAGCATTTTTTATTGGGTAACCTCTGGCATTTTCCACGGATTACAAACGGGCAGGCAATAATAAAGGCAATAAAGACTGACCTTTACCCCTTTGGCGTCTAATGTTCTACTGTTAGAGGTAAGTTCAGACTGTTAAGAGCCTAAGAGCTCACATTACAAGTAGGGCGTCGTCTTCTCCAGGTGAAGGGCATAAAATACATCATCTTTTAGCCCTCACAACAACTCTACACCGCAAGGACTAAAAACTATCCTCGTTTTTTTCAAATAAGGAAACTGAGGCACAAGAGAGGTTGAGTAATATGCCTAAATGGAGGACATCTGAGGCAGACTGGAAACCATTCTGGGTCTGGAGTCCAGCCCTCTTAACCTCATCAGGGATCTGGGGGTGCGCACATCAATGTCAGTGTAAAACGTGTTAAGAAATACAGTACCAGTGGGAAGCAGGGGTTCCAACGGGGTAATAGCATGCTCCATAACGGATTACTGGTCTCTGCATTAAAAACATAAAAACGCCACATTAGAACTTCTAGCTAATTAAACAGCGCGCGAAATCGTCAGTACATTTGGTCTCCGGGGCGGAGCACGGAGCGAGCCGCGCTCCTGGCGTGCGGGCCCGGGCACGGCAGGCAGGGCGCGCGGCGACAGGGACGCGGGAGACTCCAGCCCCAAAGGGTTCCAGGGCGCGCAGGGCAAAGCATGCGGGCGCCACGCGTGCCTCGACAGGGCCGCCCCGTCCAGCATCTCCCCGCGCCGCCGTCACCATCCGGGACCGGGGGAGCCAAGAAAGCCAGAGCGGCGAGAGGCGGCCACCTCCTCCCCGCCCCGGCCTGTAGCCCGCACGCCGGGAACGAAGGCGGCGCGCCGGAGTGTTGTCGCACTTACATAATGGCGGGTGGAGCCACCAGCGAGCGGAGCGCAGACTGCGGGAGCGAGGGCGATCGACCGCTCGGCGCTCGGCTGAGGAACCTCGGCGACGCGCGATCCCCGCTCGCAGATTTAAGTAAACGGCGCTTGAGGTGGCCCCGCCTCCTTCCGGGAGCCGGAGGCGCGTGCAAGCCGCTTGACCCGCCTGAACCGCGTGTCCACACAGGTGAGGGCGCCGTACTATCCGCTCACCTGGCCGCTGCCTTCTTCCCGCGCCGCGCTCTCTTCTAGGCTAGCTCGTACCTGAAGCCATCGCTGGTGTTTCTGCCGAGCGCTCGTCACTGAACTTCGGCACGGAGGCCGCTATTTGCTCCAAACCAAGCGTTAATGTCCCCGTCACCCTTCGTTAGCTTGGCATCAGAGCCAAGCAAACGTCCCAAGTTATCCAGAGCCCGTTTTCTCGGTCCTCATTCTTTTTGATCTCTCGCTTGCAGCTTGTGTACTTAAGGAGCACGCCTTCGTTAAAGTCTTCACTTGGTTGCAACAATCGCAGAATGTTTTCGTTGGCAGGAACTTTACGCTGCTTACTTGCAGCTCCGCTCGCTCCAACACTCCCAACTTCAAGAGTTCATTCTGTGGCCACGCAGCCTTTTCCAAGACTCTGCAAACCAGATCTCTAGACTTAGACTCCCTAGGCTTCACCTTTTCCAGGCTAAACTCTTGTTCTTTCGAGGTTCTTATAGGACATGATTTTTAGACTCCACCATCGTGGTTCCCATCCTCTGTATTTAATGTTGCTCAGAAACTGTGATTCTGACAGCTGTTGAGAACCGTGCAACTGTCAGCACGTGACAACTCGTGCAAACCCCTGCGCTAAGAGATGTGACCAACTCTATCACGGTTTCTATAAGGCGGATCCCTAGGACACACAACCATTAAAATGCCTAGCTGAGAAAGTTCTAGCCAACAGCTGATGGCAGGCCCCTGACCTCCCAAAGGGCTTGAAATTGTGAATATGTTTCTTAAGACTCAGAAGCATCTCTCTCAAAGACCCGAGAGCCATTCCCTGCAGAGGCAGTCTTCAGGAAGGGTAGGGCCTCTGTCTCCCAGTCTCTGTGGGAGGATAGACTCCTCACTTCCGCAGCTGCCAGTTAGCAAACGAAGCTGGTCTAGTCGCCTTTATACTGACCGACGCTTTGCAATTTTCACTTCTCTAACTCTATTGAGCTCCCACTCTTGCCCGTCTCTCATCCTCCCTTTAAAACGTTCCAGTCGCCTCTCCACAAATAGGAATAGAACTCAGCTCTTTCTCGACTGTCAGTAGTTACTAAACAAAACCTATTTTCAACGCTTCAACTAATACCCGTCTGTGTTTATCTTGGACACTGGACACAATGTTCCAGGAGTGATGCAACCATAGAAAAGTACAACATTGCCCATGCTCATTAACTTTTTCAGCTGCCAGATCAAATAGAACTTGCAGGTGTTTTTCACATTCACCACTGTCAAGCCAAGGGTACACCTATCTCACAGTCAATTTTAGACCAAACTGCTAGGGACTTTACAGTTATCATTGTAAAATTAAATATTATGACTTTGCCATCACAGTTACATGGGTGGGCCATTTCAACTATGTTACTTACTAGCTGTGAGACATTGGAACTCTACCTCAGTTTCCTCAGATATAAAATGGGAACAATGTTGCCTACTTTGGAACGGTTCCGTAAGGATCAAATGGTATGGATAAACACTTGGGCAGGTGCCTAGCACGTACAGGTTTGCAACAAACGTTTGTCCCTCTCCATCAATATGAGACGTATTCCACTTACACCTTATGACATCCTTGTTTATATTTGTAACACACATCCTTGCAAAGTTTTCATGTGTAATCTTGCTCAAGTTTCTCCCAAAGTCATTACCGAAGAAAACTGAAATATTAACCACAATAAATGTCAAAAGTCCACGTTTCAAGATGCCACTAGTGAAACTAAAAGACAACAGACTGGAGGTGGAGGGAGACTGTGCCCATGTAATAGCCAAGTGGTTGCTATATCTATATCAGTAAAAAGCAAACAGGCCAGTAAATGGATGACCAAGGATGCTACAGAGTCCAAGCTCATACTGCTTGCCCGACTGACAGACCAATAAATTGAGAGACAATTTGTTGGGGCAAGGAATAGCTACTTAATTCAGAAAGTCAGCAGACAGAGAAGATGGTGGACTAGTGTCCCAAAGAACGACTTGTCTGGGTTTGGATGCTAGTTTCTTTTAAGGACAAAGAGGGGGAAGTGAGGAGGTGAAGTAAAAAAAAGTGATACATTATTGTAAATATTCCCTGGTTCCAGCCAGACTCTGGAGGGGATGTGTTAATTTCTTCTTTCCTGCAGCCATTCACAGGTGGGCCTAGTCATGATGTTTCATATGAGCCAAAGGAAAGTATTTTAGCTTAACTCTCAGCATGGGAGGCAGGGTTCCAAGAGAAGGGCCATTATGTATACTTTAAGGCATAGGCAACATCCCTTTAGTGATTAACTTGTAGCAAAAGCAATAGAATACAAAGGTTAAAGTAAAAGAAACAGATCCAATATGGAGTCAGATGTGTTCTTCTTTATTACAAGGATATATACCGGCAAATTACAAAAGGTATTCAAATGGCAAACCATGTGAAAAACACAGCGTCAATAGCATTCAGAGAGCAAATTTGAACAATGAGATAAATTTACTTGCCAGATTGCAAATAGTATTTAAAATAATCAGACAAATTTACACTGGTTGAGTAATTATTATGTTCCAGTCACTATGCTGAGGTCTTTGTATTTTATTTAATTACCCTAAAATGCAGGCTCCAAGAGAACTAGGACCAAATTTTAATTGTTCACTTTTCAATCCTCACACTCGGGCACAGTTGCTGGCAAAGAGTAAGCAATCAGTGAGTATTTACTGAATGTTCATAATGAAATTGTTTGCAATAGCAATACATATTAGCAGTAGCCTAGACTGCTTCTTCTCCAGTTCTTCTCGCAGCTGACTCATCCAACCAGCCTCAGCACAAAACTGACTTCCTTCCCCTGGTTACTCGTTATTTCATCTAGGCTTGTTTGTTTGTTTTCCTGCAAAGCTATACTCACAATCTGTAGTTATTTAACTTATTTATTTGTTTATGGTTTTTCTCCCCCTGCTAGCGTGAGAGCTTCCTAAGAGCAGGAACCATATCTGTTTTGTTCATTGCTATTTCTCCAGGCAAACAAGATACCTCACCCGTAATAGAGATTCAATAAATGTTTGTTAAATGGATTAATACGTGGTGGGAAAAAATGAAAAGTTACAGTGCATCATATCAGCAATTATTAAAAAGAATAAGCTAAATCAATATGCCCTCATGTGGAAAAATGTCTATGACAGAGTAAATTTTATAAATGCAAGTGGTAGGAAAAATCCCACCTATATTATTTAAATGTATTTGGATAACCATACAAAGAGAATTGTTAAAAATGACCTGTGAGATAAAGGGATGGATTACATAGGGGGCAGCAGACTTAGGGAAATATCACTTTCTATTTTATATATGTTTGTATTTTATTACTTAATATTTTTGCAATATGCATAGTAAAGAAATTTAAGGTTGTGAAAATGTATATTAAAAGGAAATTAATGGTCATTATTGTTAATCCCTGTCATATTTTGGGATTCCAGGGAAAGGAACATATATACATACATGGTATAATTTTCAGAGGAGAAATTCCATAGCTTCAACCAAATTTTCAATGGATCCTATGATCCCCAAAAGTTCCATGGGATAGGAACCTCTAGTAATAGGTTATGCATTTTTCTCTACGATACATAGATGGCTCTCCCATCTCCCTCCCCAACTGTCTTCCATTCTGCCCCCATTTTCTTGAACTGGTGGAGTTCAAAATATATGTTGTTTTAAAGATTTTACAATAAAAAATTTCTGGAGTGAAATAAGTTTTGAAAACACTGCACACTGTTACCAACCTCCTTTCAGATTTATAGCACATTATACGTCTTTAAACATCTCATGTTTATCTCCAAACCCAGAATGTCTCAAAACTATTGGAGCATGGAACACTGTTTGCTTGGTATATCTTTTAAAATCTTGCAGAACAGTGTTCCTCCAAACAACTGTTGGGGGAAAGCTACGAGAGGCTATGAGCACAGGTGCTAACACCTCTTTCCTTCAACACCTGTTCTCCCTACTGCTGCCACTAAGTGGTCTTGGAATTTCTGGTCTTCAATCAGCTTCTATCACCTCATGTACTTCAGCATTGTTTGTTCAGAAAATCAAATCATTCTCTCAACTTCAGAATGTGTGTTTATGCTGATCTCACTTTAACAGTTCAAACAGTATTAAACTGCCTTTAGAATATTTCCACTTAAATATCTCACCATTATATCTGATTCAAGTGGCTAAAACTGAAATCATTAATTTATTCCTCCTCCCAGAGTCTCCATTTCTTTCCTTAGCATCATTATTCTTCTGCACTCCTTGATAAATAACTCTAAGTTGCCTTTTCTTTCACTCCATAAACTCAGTAAGGTGCCAACTTTTGTTCTACTGATCGCTTAGCCCAGCCTGTTGAGGTCAATATGAATCAAGATTCAATCATCCTTGTCATTTCCTCTCAACTATCAATCAAAATTTTCATTATTTTAAAGCCTATCTAAAGGATCATCTTCTCTGAAAAGTCTTCCCTGAGATTCACTCAAGCCTCTCACAATTAATCTTACTTTGCTCTGTAAGCTCATTACATTCTTTTGTGCTTCTTTTATAACCCTTTATTTTATAGCCACGTGGTCTGATAAAGTAGAGTTCATTTTATTTATTTATTTATTTTTGCAGTACACGGGCCTCCCACTGTTGCGGCCTCTCCCGCTGCGGAGCACGGGCTCCGGAGGCGCAGGCTCAGCAGCCATGGCTCACGGGCCCAGCCACTCCGCAGCATGTG